GCCCTGACAGGGGTCTCCACGCAGGCTCGGGGGTCTGCCAAGACCCAGCCAGGGGAGGAGGACAACACGGTGCTTGTCCCTTGGAGCCCTCACAGACCCCTCTGCCTATTCAGTGACACCCACAAGCCCCAGGGAAGCTGCCAGGAAAGAGCCCGAAATGCCCCCATTCACCACTTGGAGAGAAAGACAGCATAATTTCAATTAAGGTCCCAGACTGTCAAAAAACGTCAAGTTATTAATCTCCTCGTGGCAAACGTGAACCGGGACCTGCTTACACAGCCAATTGAGCGTGCTCTAAATTAGTGTTTGCAGGTAATTGATTCAGCTGCCAGCCCCACGCCGGCCGCTACAAGCTGGTGACGCCACTAACATTAAATAATATGGGGCGGTAAAGCGTGCTGCCTGACTGGGCCTGCAGTCAGATGCCGTTAGCGCCCGATTTACCCAAACATTAACGTCTCATCGGTTTAACACAATTTACGACACCTCAATTGCGGAAACTGATTTTCATTTCCTCTGGAACCCCGCTCACAGGCACAGTGCGGAGGAGGGGGGAGTCTTAATAAACGGCAGCGGGTCGCTTCCATTTTTCCACTGTGCCCTGAAGATTTTATGACAAACCTTTGATGATGAAACAAAACAGGAAGATGAGGCTTAGAACTAGGTCTTCTGGCCAGCAGCCCCTGTCTGGGTCTGAGCACCACTGTGCTGGGGGTGGTGTGCCCTCCTCCCGGAAAGTCAGTGCCGTCTCCTCCCTGTTCAATCCTGACATGCAAGAGTCCCTGTGCTTCTTGCCCTGAGTCCCCCCTTCCATGGGGCTGGGGCTTGGCCATGCTCCCAGCAGAACGTCCAGAAGACTCTAGGGAGACTTCCAGCCCAGGGGTCAGTGGCCTGCAGGGGAATCGCTGCCCTGGACCATCCCGGGCCATCAGTCCAGCCTGTGTAATGAGCACCACACCTCCTGGGGAACCTCCACCTGCTTCAGACGAGATCTCACACTCCCAGTCAAGAGAAGAACGCTGAAGTTTACAGCCAGCAGAGAGGACAGGAGAAAAGTAGTTCAGGACATTTTCTTCTCTTGCGCGCCCATCCATCTAACTCACCCACGTGTATTTCCTGACACCAACTGTGGGGCAGACGCTGCAGATTAATGAGATGGTGGGGCCTCCAAGGGGAAGTTCCTAGGCTCCAAGGACACAGGCCACAAAACAGCATCCCGGGCCACCTGGGCCATGACAGAGACGTGCCTGTGGGGAGAGCGAGCCTGAGGCAGAGGTGTGGGCCCACCTCACCACTGAAGACTGAGTGGTGGCACTGGCAGTAGGGGGTGCCCTCCTCAAATCTGGCCAGAGACACCCCAAGATGTGGCGGTGTCCCAGAACAGTTCAGTTCAGTTGCTCAGTCATGTCTGACTCTTTGTGACCCCATGGACTGCAGCATGCCAGGCTTCCGCATCCATCACCAACTCCCGGAGCTTATTCAAACTCATGTCCATCGTTGGTGATGCCATCCAACTGTCTCATCCTCTGTTGTCCCCTTCTCCTCCTACCTCCAGTCTTTCCCAGAACAACCACCTTTCCATTGCCTCTATTGGGGGGGACGCGGGGGCGGGGGGGCGACACCATCTGCTCCCCAGGGTCATTTGCCCTGCCTCTCCCCTTCCCCTGGCCCTTCAGGAACAGATTCCATCTCTTGTTCTCATCATCTCTGCCTCAGCTTTTCTCCAAGAGGAAAACTGCCTATACCCTCCATCCCAGGAACCCCCTGCTCTCAGGGTTCAGGGACCCACAGATCAGATGCACCCCCTGCCCTGCCTGGCTGAGGCCACGAGGGCAGGCACCACTTCCCAACTGTATCCCTCACGGCCAGCCGCAGGGTGGGCACAGCACACTGTAGGTGCATGACAGTGTACCCACCTGGCTGGATTAATGCCCCTCATCGCCCTCAGGGTGGCTGCTTCTGGCCCAGAGCCTCAGCATCATTTCTCAGAGGGCCACCCCTGATATACAGAGGAGGCGGCAGTGGGGCCAGCCTGGGACTTGGGGGCGGGGGGGAGACCAAGCAGTGTGTAGACAAATGTAAGCTCTCCCCAGAGCTCAGCTTGTCAAGAGGCTGTCCTTCAAATGACAGCCAAATGCAACATGTAGATGCTGAATCCCAGCTCACACAGACCAACTCGAAAAGGACAGCTTTAGACAATGTGACCTAGACACTTGTAATATTCAAGATGACTGTTAACTTACTCAGTGGTTACGTGAAAAGGAAAAAAGTACCCTCATCCACTGAGACACCTGCTGACGTATTTACAGGTGAGATGACTCCATGTCTGGGGTTTGGTTTTAAACACTCCAGCAAAACAAAACTAAACAAAAACCCTGATGGGGACTTGGAAGTCCATTAGACCCTTCTGCAGTTGTTGCTGTTGTTGTTCAGTCGCTAAGTCATGTCTGACTCTTTGGGACCCTTTGGACTGCAGCCCGCTGGGCTTCCCTGTCCTTCACTATCTCCTGGAGTTTGTTCAAATTCACGTCCACTGAGTCGGTGATGCTATCTAACCATCTCGTCCTCTGTCATCCTCTTCTCCTTCTGCCTTCTTTCCCAGCATCAGGGTCTCTTCCAATGAGTCTACTTGGGGAGTATTTGAAATTTCTCAATAAAAGAAAAAAATGATCTCTATTGCCTGGGGTCAGGGAGTCAGGGAGCAGGAAGGAGGTATTTCAAGTGGCCGGCCCCCGACCCAGGGCCCACATCCACAGGAATCCCGGAGCAGATACCATGCTGTAGCAGGAGACCATGGGGAGACAAGAGTCCCCCTGTGGCAGGAGTGACAGGGCTGGGCCCTTGATGACCAAACCTGTGCCCTCTCGTGGGAAGTCATAGCAGCGGGGCCTCTGAGGCCATGTTAGCGTCTTATCTCCCAGGATAAGAAGAGAGAAATACGGAGGACTCCTTTATAGGTTATTAGACTTTGAAAAAAAGATGCCTACCCCCCCAAGCCCAGGATGACGATGACCATAAATGTCCACGATGCCCACAGCTGACTCTGTCTGCACCTCACCCTCATCCTGCACTGATGAGGTGGGCTGTCAGAATGGGCTAGGGGTGTGGAGGCAGGCCAACCCCGAGGGCACCTCGGGTAGACTTGGGTCCTGCAAGGGGGTAAGGGGCACAGCACCGAGCTCTTACAAGGCCAGGCAGCCCAGGATAAAACATTTTTTTGTGCTCACAACATTTCTGACACCAAATAAGCGGGTTTTCCACACTAAGTAATTCTCCAGTTCTCTGTGATATCTTCTGATACTGACTGCTGGAGTTAGTTGCAAACGACACAGATTAAGGGCTCCGTACCACAGAACTGGCCCCTCTGCAGGCACCAAGCCCAAGTCTGGGCCTCCTTTCCTAAACTCTGACTCATCAGCCTGAAATCAGGGGTTCCCACCGAGCCTTGCCTTGGGCTTCACAGTCTGCCAGAATGGCTTGCAGAGCTCGGGAAGGCGCTTGACTTGCTACAACCACTTCATTATGAAGGATAAAACTCAGCAAGGGCTGAATGGAGAGTAGCACAGGGCTAGGTGTGGGGGGCAGGGCACAGAGCTTCCAAACCCTCTCCAGGGGCGCCACCCTCCCGTCACCTCCCCACGTTCGCCAGCCTAGATGCTTTCCGAACTCTGTGGTTTAGGGCTTTTGTGGAAGTGCCATTACCTCCTCAGATACACGACTGATTAAATCACAGCCAGAACTCAGTCTCAATCTCTAGTGCCTCTGTCCTCCCACTCTGAGGGCTCCTCATTAATACAAGGGGCTTCCCTGAGGGCTCGGTTGGTAAAGAATCTGCCTGCAATGCAGGAGATCCCGGTTCGATTCCTGGGTCAGGAAGATCCGCTGGAGAAGGGAGAGGCTACCCATTCCAGTATTCTTGGGCTTCCCTGGTGCCTCAGCTGGTAAAGAATCCGCCTGCAGTGCGGGAGACCTGGGTTCGATCCCTGGGTTGGGAAGATCCCCTGGAGAAGGGAAAGGCTAACCACTCCAGTGTTCTGGCCTGGAGAATTCCATAGATTGTGTAGTCCATGGGGTCACAGAGTTGGACATGATGGAGCAACTTTCACACTCATTCACTCATTAGTATAAACTCGGGTGTGGTGGAAAGGGGCTTATTGTAAACAACCATATGCTCCTCTCTATGAGGGGATTTCAAAGGTTTTATAAGCTCTGTGCCAGGAACTGGTGGTAGAGACAAAACATGCATTTTTTATTATGTCACTCGTGGAAAAATGGCAGCCTCTTCAGTGTCCTCTCTCCACAGGATGGGGGCTCCCAGGTGGTGTGGTCACGACTGGGAGACTTGGGAATGGGGGCTTCCTGCCCCAGGAGGTGGGTGGGAGGGCAGCCACTGGGGCAGCTTGGGGCTGACTCCAGGGCTTCTTCATGCCCTGGGGAGCAGCCTGCTGACCCCAGGGTCCTAGAGTGGGGCTGAGGAACTGGCCGGGCCACACCCAGGATAGTGGGGTAGCCCCCGCCCCGCCTCAAGGCCCCCGGGTGGCAACGGGCTCAGCCTAATTGGAGCCATAGGATGACGGAGCTCTCCAGAACGCTTTATGAGCCACTTAACCATCCCTCGACCCAGTCGTCCAAGCACAGCAGACATAATGGCAGTGTTTACACATAAAAATGGCAAGCTGTTTTACTAGCAGCTTTCAGAGTCACAATAGCAGCTATTTGGTAAAGTTTCCCACAAATGGCAGAAAGTCCAAGAGTGGAATGCTGGGGCACTAAACCACCCTGAAAAGTAATCAAAGACCATTACCATCAAACACTCTGCCAAGAGGCAGGGAGGTGGCCCCAGTCAGGAGAGAAATCCTCTCTGCCCACACGTCAAGTCTGCCCCTAATCCCCACTCAATCTGTGCGCCGGCCGCCGCGCCTCATCTGTTACTCGCTCGGGGAGCATCAATTACTGCTTTTTACATTTTAATCTTTACCCAGAGAAACACGGCAGCTTACCTTTCCATCTCATATTCTTTCATTCCCACTTTTACAGCCTTCATTACCTGGAGGACGGATATTAAGCAAAGACATTTGTATTAAGGAGATAAGTAACACTGCCTTATAAATAATGTATAGCACTCTTTTCCAAAGAATCTCTTCTTTTAAAAAAAAAAAGAAAGATACGTGCACACAGCAGTGCAGAAATGTGACAAATTAGAACTTTTTTAAAGCTCCAAAGTCATATAGTTTATTTAAACCACTCCGGAGCACTTCTATTCAGCAGTCAATAAACACCTCGGCAGGCTAGTGAAGATTTAACCAAGATGTGTCGGGTGAATACTTAATGCTCAGAAGGCCATGGCAACTATCCTAGAAGGTTTCCCTCCTTATAAAACACAGACAACATGAACTGGGACGACAGATTCTATTGCTCCCAGTGATCCCCATCCGTCTCCTGACACAAGGCTACAAAGGTCAGTGAGCAGGCACTGGGCTAGCCCACTCAACCGGACTCATTTTGGGAAATAAACTTCCTTTGCGTAAGGTGGAAATGGTTTGGGAAAAAACCATGTGAGGGTGTTTTCAGAAAATGTATGATGGTAATAAATGTGCTTGATTCATGGGTAAGGACCACAGATTATTTTTTTGTAACAGGCTTTGTTTATTTATTTAAACTTGGCCACAGCCTGTGGCATGTGGGATCTTAGTTCCTCGAACACGGAGCGAACTCACACCCCCTGCATTGGAAGGTGGTCTCTTAACCACCGGACCACCAGGGAAGTCCGGAGGACCACAGATTCTTTCAAAGGAGCTGGGACGGCCAGGATGCCAGGAGGGAGAGTCCTATTCTCCCAGAAGGGGGTACTTCTTGTTGGGAAATTCCCTGAGAGTGGGGGTCTTAAGGTGAGAAACTGGGGCGGAGCCTCTGTCCTGCATGTCTTGTGCCCACTGGGGACCAGTAAGGAGCCAGCACTGTGCATCCGGCCTCAGAGGCACTTCCTGCCTGCTGGCGTGGCCTGGGGACCAGTGCCACTCTCGACACTCCCCTCTCCATCTCATCCACCCTCCCCTCGTCCATCTCGACACTCCCCTCTGGGCCCACACAGAGCAAGGCTGCTTCCCTGACCCTCCCAGAATGGCAGGTCCCACGAGCCAGTGCCCAGCTTACCTCCCGGTGGGCCTCACTGGAGATTTTATTGGTGTAGTGCAAAACCTCCAGCTCCATGTCCGTCTTGAAGACCCGGCTGCAGAGAGGAGAGAAACAAAGCAGCAAGTCAGTGACTTCCAGTGGGAGCTGGCCGACCCCTCCAGGGAGACCCTGCACTACACCCAGCACCACCTGACAAGGAGCCTGGTGCTGCAGATGGGCTGCCTGGGCGTGGGGGTGGGCAGAGGATGGGACGCCAAGCCTCAGCGATAATAAGCTGAGCTAGGCATGGCCCCAGCCAGCCTCAGGAGCGTGGGCTGTTTCCAGTGATGAGACTGGGAAGCCACTGTGGGTGGTAGAAGCCCAGATTCTGTGGCCAGAGACAGCTTGCCTCACCAGGACTCAGCTTCCTCATCCATTAAATGGGAATACGGCTACACGGTAACACTGCACGCATGCGTGCTAAGTTGCTTCAGTCATGTTTGACTCTTTGCGATCCTATGGGCCGTAGCCCACCAGACTCCTCTGTCCACAGCATTCTCCAGGCAAGAATATTAGAGTCGGTTGAAGTGCCCTCCTCCAGCACAGCAAGGCTGCTGGACCTGAATCTTAAGTGTGCTGACTCCCAGTGCTCTGCCCAGATGGCTGAAGAATTCTCCCATTTCCTCCTCACCTAGCCCACGGGTCAGGGAGCCTTAGAAAACCATGTGACTCAGGCCCCTAGCGTGAGACAGGGTCATGGTGGGAACAGGGACGGGGCAAGCAATGCAACCAAGACACCCTGCCATCCCCTCAAGGCTCAACTGTGCCTCCTGCCAGCTGCACTCCAGGGGGGTCCTCCCAATAAACTCATGTTAGTTTGCCCAAATCTGGTTCGGTTTCTGGTCTCTGCAATCAATCACAAGCCTAAGTCAGACCCCTGTAGAGAAGCTAAATAAATATTCATTTTCTACTTCTACTCATTTGAAATAAGCAACTGCAGGTCATGAGCATTTAAATAGCAGCCCGGCCCAGCCCTTACGTGCATGGAGCCCTCGGTGCATCCCTGAAGGCCGAGTCTGCTCCCTTTATGAAAGGTGACCCGGCTTCACCAAAGGGCCCACACGGCCACCCCTCCTCTCACAACGGGAACATGCCCAAGCCCACTCAAGATCAGCACAGTAGGGGACTTCCCTGGTGGCCCAAGGGTGAAGAATCTGCCTTCCAATGCACGGGACACAGGTTCCACCCTTGGTGGGGGTACTAAGACCCCACATGCTGCAGAGCAGCTAAGCCCGTGCGCCGCAACTAGAGTCCATGCACCACAACTAAGGGGTCTGTGCGCCGCAACGAGAGTCCGCGGGCTGCCATGGAAGATCCCTCGTGCTGCAACTGAGACCCGACAGGGCCAAAAACAAGATCAGCAGAGCAGACTGTCATGGAGATAGATTAACGCCTGCCCCTCCAACCAGAGCGCACCTGCGTCTAAGCACTGTCCTCCCCTAAAGCCTGGTGGCGCTGAGCTAGTCTCAGCCAAGGTGGCCAAGGATGGCATGGAGCATCCGTCTGCACTCCCCAACACACGCTGTCTCCATGCTGCCCAGCTGGACAGCCTCCAGCCACTTATCACCAGGAGGGAAGGAAGGCATTGTACAGCACAGGGACACATTTCTAAGTCTATAAAACCTTCTGGGGGAAAGATCAACCACCCACCCACTGAGATTCTGTCCAAACAAACACGTCTTCTTTGCCGAGAACCAGACCTGGAAGTCTCAGCCTGCTCTTTATCATCATAAAGGTACTCCGGCTCCTTCTCTGGGTACTGTGAGCAGTGCCACAGGAGGAACCAAAAGCTGGTTCCTGTGCCCCGGAGGGTGAGGTCCAAATCCACTCACAGGATAACCTAGCGGCCCCTGGTGCTTTGATCCTGCCTACTTAGCACCAGCCCTAAGATCTGTGAGGGGGAGCAGACCTCTCTATTCTCCGATGCAGTGATGACAACAGTGACAACACCCGTGGGGACCAGGCCCAGGCTGCCCAGCCTCTGACCCTCTGCCTCTCTCTTCAGCCTGGTCCAGTGCTCTAGCCACACTCTTGCTGCCACTTAAACCTCTAGGCCCTGTGCCCTTCCATCAGCAGGGGCTTGGCCAAAGCCCCAAGAGGCACGAACCCAAGCCCAGGCCTGTTACTGTAGGATAGGATGGCTGAACGGAAACCACTCAGCCGGCGGACAGACGGCAGCACTGCCACCGGCCTCCAACGCTCCCACTCTGCCAGGAGTCACAGCAGAGCGAGCAGGCTGCTCTCGACTTCCCCCACCAGGGAGGCCTCCCAGGGCTCCTTCTCACACGAAGGAACTCACCTCCTGCCTCCTGGGGAACCGGAAGCCGGCAGGTAGGTGTGCTCTCACCTTTTCTCCGAACGCCCAAGCCCTCCCCCCAATACCGTCCCCCAACCTGGTACAAGGGAAGGTGTGCCCTCTAACCAGTGGGGCTCAGCCCCCCAACATGCACACCTGGGCTCCGCACCTGCCGCTCTTCCCGGAAGCTCCATGACCGCTCACCTCCTCCTCTGGCCAAGCTTTCTCCCCATCTCCTGGCCCCGTTTCCAGAAAGGAAACCCGGACAGTCCTTGCCCTGGGAGAAGAGCTTTTACGAGCCTCTTCCCTGGCTTCTCCCTCACCTTCTCCCCTCTCCTTGTCTCCTTCGGCCCCCGCCACTCTCCCAGCTCCCCCACCACCAACGTGTGGGATGACCTTCTCACAAGCCCAGAGGCATCAGTGACCTCCTGAGAGTAGGAGGCACCATGATGTCTGCCTCCACTGGTCTATTCTCAGCCGCCTCCCCTCCTCCGTCTCTCTTGGGTCCTCCCCTCCCTGCACCCCCCACCCTGAGCTTTGCCGCACAACCTGCTTCCAAACCCCTGGCTCGGATATAGGCCTCTCAGCTGCATTCTACCTGGAGGACTCCCGAGGCACCCCCAGCCCAGCAGGGAAGAGACTCCCACCCTTCCTTGGGCTCCCACCTCCAGCCACAGCTCCCCATCCCCACTGCCTAATACACAGACCTGGGCGACCTCTCTCTCATCTGTTCATCACTCCCACATCCAACTGATGACCAGGGGCTGTGATCCCACCTCCGCACCCTCTCATGCCTCTCCTTTCTCTTTGCCCCACCCCGCCCCCAGCCTGAACCACCTCTCCTGGCTCTTCTGGCCTCCAGCCCCATCTGCTTCCTGGACCACAGCTGTGGCTCTTCAGGCAATGCAAATACGACCAGGCATTCCCTGGCTTAAAACCTTTAGTAGTCCCTAGGTGTCCAGGCGAAGTTAAAACAAGGACCTATACTCAATATTTTGTAATAACCTATAAGGGAATATATGTGTGTGAAAAATAACTGGATCACTGTGCTGCATGCCTGAAACTAATATGACACTGTAAATCAACTACTGTTGCTCAGTCGTGTCTGACTCTTTGTGACCCTGTGGACTGCAGCAAGCCAGGCTTCCCTGTCCTTCACCATCTCTCAGAGTTCGCTCAAACTCATGTCTGTTAAGTCAGTGATGCCATCCAACCATCTCATCCTCTGTCGTCCCCTTCTCCTCCTGCCTTCAATCCTTCCCAGCATCAGGGTCTACTTGAGTTAAAAACCACAACAACAACCCTATCTTGGGACCCTGAGGCTCTCCAGGGCTCACCTGACCTATCTCCATCACTTAGCTGCAGCCTCCTTCCCCGTCCCCCACCAGGGACCCCTCTGCCTGGAACTGATTCTTGCCGTTTCATTCTCTGGCTTCCACCTGAAATGCCCCTTTCTCAGGGCTGGCTCCATCCAGTCCCTCACCAGGCAAAATCCCCTCCCTCTATTCCCTGTGCAGTAAGTGATCAGGCTTGTAGTTTCTTTTTCATTTAAGTCTCCCTCTAAAAGCCCATGGTCCCTGAGAGACGGCTCCCAGAGCCAGAACAGTACCTGGCCCTGAGCAAACAGACAGGACCTGGGCATTGAAACCAAAGCTGGAAAACACCTCACTTCCAACCAGGAGAGAATGGTGCATCTCAAAAAGAAAAAGAGGCCTCCCCACTCTTGAACACCCTGGGTTGTTCCCTTGGTCAGTGTGGGATGTTGCACAGCCTGGCAGATCCAGGGCAGGACAGGGAGACACAGCCTCCCCAGGCCTCAGCAGCTTAACCCTGCCCCACCACTGCCCGCCCCCTGCCACATGGTAGGAAGAGGCAGCCCCAGTGTTTCAGCCCCAGGAGCCCACCTCACAGGCTCTTATACTTACTTGCCAGCATATATGCCTCCCAGGCTCTCCACTCCCCTCCTCTCTGCAGCCTGGACACCTCAGTCTTGAAATAAGCAGGGAAGAGGCTCCACCAGCCAAGGAGAGAGGGCGCGGGGAGCCCAAAACCACGCTCCCTCCCATCAGAGGTGATAAGCATGGTGAGCCGTCTGAGATCCAGAGTCCTGTTTCCTTTCCCAATTTCACTTTGGGGAAGATGACAAACTCGACCTCTAGCTGATTTACTCAGGACTTATATTTTTAGTCATGTTAAAAACAAAAAAAAAACATCGAACAGAACCAGGGTGAACTGTCCCAAGAAGGCAGTTCTCCGGTGAAGCCAGCCTGGCTGAGCCCAGGCCTGGCCCTGTTGAATCCAAGCTTTAAGGGCCCTGAAAGTAGACAGTTGCATGTGCCAGCTAACCCGACTGCCCATGGGTGCTCTAGGGCTGATGTCTTGCCCTGGTCCTGGGGGTCCCAGCCTGGCCCCGTTAACTCCACAACACAAGCACGGGAAACTATCTTTAGGATCGTGGCAGGAAGCAGTAAGACTTTCCAGTATTCTGCACAGTTTCTCCTCATCTGCAAGAAGACTGTGCTGCCCTGAGGTTGAGAAAGCTGTTTCCCTTATTGCCGATCACAAAAAGGCAAGTGGTTTGGCCATGGTTTGGCCTCTGTAGGCCCAGCAGCCTTGGAATGACGGAAGGACGCTGAGTGCCACACTGAACCCCAGCTTTGCTCAGCCCGAGGATGTATGGGGTGGGGTTAGAAACATCACCTGCGAGGTGTCCATCCCCAGGAGAGGATGGAGGTCACCTCCTCCATGAAGCATCATGG